TCCGGCATAAAAGCCTTCCTCTTTTTTTATTATTTCACTATCGTGTTGTCAATCAGTGCAAAAGTTTCAACTTGGGTAATCATTTCATAAATCGAAACCCGTGCATTTAAATCTCCGTTTAACGATTTCGAGCGTAGTATTAATTTTGATAGCAGCTGCTCCGTAAGAGAACATCTGCTCAATTATTTTTTCTGTTAGATGATATCTTCAACTTGAAAGCTTTGAGCATTTCTTCAAATAATACAAAGTAAAAGCGTAACTAAATGGATTTTTTTCCTTCTCAGAAATAGTTCTTGCATTCCAAAATTCGTTCTTTTACGTTTTTCAATGCCTTCTTTCTTTTTAGCATATCAAATCTCTTTGTTCAATTAACATTAATTAATTAGTATTAAGTGGCAGTACGTCATATATTTTACATTAACAACAACCGATTTGTTAGAAACATTTAACATATTTAATTTTTTTACGAACGTCAACTAAATAAACTTCATGCACTCAACGGCGGCTTTGTTCATTTGTCATCGAAGATAAGTAGTAGATTTTCTTTTTATTTTTTATTTTATAGGAACAAACTTCTAGAGAGCGTCAAAAAAATAGTAAATAAAAAAAAATTAAAGCAAATCCGGAAGCTGTGTTCAATTCAGGAAATAAAAAGTCAGAATTCATTCTCTGATATAAAAATGGCGATGATTTTTATCAGAGCTATATGGTGACTCAATAAAATTTACTCGACTTCGATTCGAGATACTTTATACGTATTAAAATTATAAAAAAAAGTATATAGTTTTCTGAAAATAAATTGATATTTATAGTTTATATGAATAAAAATTTAATTTTTAACTATTATGCTAAATTTTTTTTAAAATTAATGTGTTTTCATTTCAAAAAATGCGTTTATATGGCGCGAGTTTATAAAGAGGTATGAAGTCGGAGTTGAAGAAATTTGTTCGACTTATGATAATTCTAAGTTAAGTGCTATATCTGTAGAAAAAAATAAATAGTTTTCTGAAGATTAATGAATATATATTTATAGTTTATTTGAATAAAAATTTAGTTTTAAACTATTGTGTTAAAAAAATGTGTTTCATTTCAAAAAATGCGTTTATGCGGCGAGAGTTTATAAAGAGCTTTGGAGTCGGAGTTGAACTCATGATACTTATAAGTTAACTACTATACTCATAGAAAAAAAGTACATAGTTTTCGGAAAATTATTTAATAGATATTTATAGTTTATTTGAAAATTTTTTTATTTTAATCTATTGTGTTAAAATAATTTAGAAATTGATGTGTCTGCATTTCAAAAAATGCGTTTAGGGGGAGAGAGTTTATAAAGAGCTTTGGAGTCGGAGTTGAACTCATGATACTTATAAGTTAAGTTCTATACTCATAGAAAAAAAGTACATAGTTTTCGGAAAATTATTTAATAGATATTTATAGTTTATTTGAAAATTTTTTTATTTTAATCTATTGTGTTAAAATAATTTAGAAATTGATGTGTCTGCATTTCAAAAAATGCGTTTAGGGGGAGAGAGTTTATAAAGAGCTTTGGAGTCGGAGTTGAACTCATGATACTTATAAGTTAAGTTCTATACTCATAGAAAAAAAGTACATAGTTTTCGGAAAATTATTTAATAGATATTTATAGTTTATTTGAAAATTTTTTTATTTTAATCTATTGTGTTAAAATAATTTAGAAATTGATGTGTCTGCATTTCAAAAAATGCGTTTAGGGGGAGAGAGTTTATAAAGAGCTTTGGAGTCGGAGTTGAACTCATGATACTTATAAGTTAAGTTCTATACTCATAGAAAAAAAGTACATAGTTTTCGGAAAATTATTTAATAGATATTTATAGTTTATTTGAAAATTTTTTTATTTTAATCTATTGTGTTAAAATAATTTAGAAATTGATGTGTCTGCATTTCAAAAAATGCGTTTAGGGGGAGAGAGTTTATAAAGAGCTTTGGAGTCGGAGTTGAACTCATGATACTTATAAGTTAAGTTCTATACTCATAGAAAAAAAGTACATAGTTTTCGGAAAATTATTTAATAGATATTTATAGTTTATTTGAAAATTTTTTTATTTTAATCTATTGTGTTAAAATAATTTAGAAATTGATGTGTCTGCATTTCAAAAAATGCGTTTAGGGGGAGAGAGTTTATAAAGAGNTTTTTTTTTTTTTTTTTTTTTTTTTTTTTTTTTTTTTAAATTAGCAAGTTGGCACCTTGGCGATTGTAGTTGGCTCCACAGATCCCGATACGGAAATATCCCCTAAAGAATAACACAAGTTGAAAAGTTAATAGGAAAATAAGCTTTTTGGTGAGGGTCTCAAAATTAGTGTAATACAGTCAAACCCCGCTATAGTGAACAATGTTTATGGTGAACTTCTGGATATAGTGAACAAAATGTTCGGCCGTGCCTTGCTAGACACGTATAATGTTCTTTTGTGTGGATATAGTGAACCAGAAAGGAGAGAGGAAGTTTATTATGTGGTAGGGTACACTATTACCCTGTAATATAATACCTGGTCCAACTAAAATATTATAGGTCAATATTAAGGTCTGATATCGCGCCTTGCGTTAGTTAACCATTGAAAAATGTCTTTGAATTTTTAAAGCATTTTAAAAGGCTTCTGGACAAATGCTTCAAGTCAAAGTTTATGAATTTGCTAAGCCATTGGGTGAGACTAATTTTATGTGCTCAAATGGCTGGTTAGACAGGTTTAAGAAGCGGAATAATATAAATTCAGGAAAAATTATCGGAGTGTCTTGAAGTATTTCCATATCTGATGTTGAGGATTGCTCATCAGCTAAAGATTACTAATTTTTTTTTTGTACGCAAGACGATAAAAAATAAAAGTTAACACATTTTTGTTACTACGCATTATTTTTCAGTCATTTTTGAATTTCATTTTTTTGGTAATTTATTTAAATAATGTGTAATAAAAGGGGGAAGTTTGAAACCATTAGTTAAAATTGTTTGCTAAACGGTTATAGTGAAGTCCCGGTTATAGTGAACAGAAATTTCGGTCCCTTGAATGTTCACTATAGCGGGGTTTGACTGTATGATAATAAAAAAACGCAAACGAGGGTTTATTAATCAGGGTTTTAAAGTCCCACGACTTTAAAGGTATGTCCTATGGGACGAACAGATGAAATATATGTACACAAATATTTATAATTACGTGAACAGAAATATTACGCGAATGAATATTTATGTCAATTTTTTAAATCTCATCCCAAAATTTATTTCTTTTAACTAATTAACTTACAAAACTAATAAATTTTCACAAAATTGATTGTGTTCTAGTATAAAATGTAGAGGTTTTTAAATATTGCGTAAGCATGTTTTTGGCCTCGTCAGCAAAACTAGGCAAATTACTAACACCTTTCCATTCGTACGTATGGGAATCGCAACACCTTATTTTTTTGCCATTTGTCTCTTACTGTAGTAATTTAATTTTAAGAATTTTAAAAACTAAAATGTAATAAAAGATTTGCATTAAACGGAATTTACGTTAAAAAAATTTATATTGCATACAATTTTGCAACTTCTGGAAGAAATTTTTATCCTATTTTTTCTTACCATTGATTTAATTTTAATTCCAAATTAGGAATTTTTCTGAGTGTTGTTTTTTTTCTAAATTTTTTGTTACATTTACTTTAGTATTTAAAAAAATTTAAAAGAAGGGGATTTCAGTTTCTTACAAACTCCTCATGCTCCTCCGCTCCTTGTAAACAAAATTTAGAAAATCGCAACTCTTTTTAAGTTCTTACGTAATATTTTGAACGGTCCATAGTTTGAAAATAATTTAAAATCATTGGCGTAGCGTCGAGAGGGCACGTGCGTCCCCCCATTAAATTAACTTCGGAATTTTTTGATTGTTCTTTTTTTAGTCCTCCTAAAAACAATTTATTATTTAATGAAAAACTAACAATTTTGAAAGGTTAAATTACAAATTATTGATCTAATTCTATGTTAATTATTTTTATGTTATTGATATCTTAAAAACTATTTCATGATATATTTTTTTCTTCTTTCAAATTTGTTATAATTTGAACTCAAAGTTTAAAATAATTTTTTTTAATAACTTCAAGCGAATTTAATTATATATTTTAGTTGTACAAACTTAAAAATATATAAAAGTACATTTCATGTAGTAAATAAATTTTTGGATCAAAAATAAAATTATATTTAAATAAAATTATAAGCTGAAGAAAACTTTTTTTTATTATTTAGAAAATTATTTTATTACATTGAAAAAATTATTTGGATAGGAAATTTTATATTTATATTTGTTACTGCATATTTATTATTCAGGAAAATATTAACTAGATTATTATAGGTTCGATTATTAATAATAGATCCTATTATTAACTAATTATTATAGGTTGTCAAAGGTGCGGCTATTTATTATTATCATATGTATTTTATTTTGATTTTTGAAAATAAAAAGGTATTAATTCTCTTTTTGATTATCAATAATTTTTTTTACATAAAATGTTAATTAATTGAGAATTATCAATGCTTCAAATAACAAGTAGATAGCATGTTTTTATAAAGAATTTTGTAATACTTTTTTTAACTAAGNCTTAAAACTTATTCATTTTTTTCATTTACCTCCTTTTTCAAAAAATCCATTTTGTCTTTATTGTGCTATAAATTTATATATATATATATATACATATATATATAATTTTCATCACACTACGCTTATATTTATACCTTTAAATCTAAGCATACGGAAAAAAAATAGAAATATATGATTCAAAATTAATATTTACTTAGTCATAAAAACTCATTGACGCTCAATTAAAATTAATTATGTGAAATTAAAATTTCCCCTTTGATTTGGTTAAGATTTTATTTGAGCATTCGAGTCGAACAGTTTAATTATCAACTGCATAGGGGTGGGGTTAATTAAATTCATCAAAAATCGTATATTTATCAGAAAAAAATGACAGACGATACATTGATTATTCAGTTAATTGCAAAACTTACCGAAATACACAGCTTTCTCACATTTGGGGCAGTTGGGCATCTTGATTGGAAGGACTTCATTAACTAAATAACCACTTTGCGCGCATTTTTTGCCGCCACTGCAACTTTATCTTAAGAGATGACGTCACGTAGTTCCGTCATTCAGAACTGGTAATGTTAGTGCAGAGGCGGATCTGAATGTACATTTGTCTTTCAGAATAATTCTTTCTTTTTTTTCTTCCTTTTTATATTTTATCTTTCACCTTTTTGTGACTGCTTCATTGACTTAAGGAACTGTCAAAAATGTTTTAGTGTGTAAAGACATGATAAAAAAAAGAAAACAATAAAACTATCTACATAAAAGAATAAAAAGACGCGATAATTCATTTTCTTTTGATATTGATGGAAAGAATATTTTCTTGTTTAGCAAACACCTTATGATTCATTGTCTGATAAATATCGGTTTTATTTATTCTTTATCGTCTGAAAAGAGTCTTCAGAATATTTCTGTCGCAATATTCTCTACCTGGAGTAAAGAAAATTCATATACGAATCTATTTGATTATGTAACAGATAGAGACCCATTTAGAAATTTTTATGGTGCATACATATTATTAAAAAGTATTCTTTCGATATATATTGAATACTCTATCCTTCAATAAATTTCGTACATGCGATATATATCGACAATGATAATGCCGTAATCATTACCTAAAATAACAAAAATCGAATACGATTATATTTCGTGTAGTACCAATAATTATAAATATCGAATTCTATAAAATAGTGATCGTTATCGAGTTCGATAAATATTCAATTCGATAAAATGAGTAGTAGCTATTATTACTAAGGAAAACATCATTTGTTAAAAATGATATGCAAAATTATCGTCAGTATTATCAATAACAAAAACCGATATAGTGCATTGAAAACGATTTCTATAAATAACGAATTTGACAATGTCTAGAATATTATCGAATACAAGAAGACCGTGATGTTTTATTTGGGTACAATCAAAATATAATTTAAATTAGTTTAAGTAAAGTAATATTAATGTAAATTAATTAGAAATGGAAACATATCGCTAAAAATGGCACCGTTTCGGGATTTCCTCATGATGTATCGCATTTTTAAAGTTTAGTTATCGGGCAGCAGTAACTGGAATCCGAAAAATAAGTTAAAATGATTATTATATTCAAGCACTTTTTGATTTTTATTCAATAGAATAATAAATAATCCTTAACAAATGTATTTTGTATAAAACGAACTTCTTACATGAGCTTTATAATTGTACTTTAAGCGCAGTAGAATTAAGTAGAAAAGTAAAATTTATACTACAGAATGCGAATTCATCTTGATTCTAATATCAAAAACTTGAAAAGAATTTTAACCCTTGCCCAAGTAGAAGAGCATATTAAAAAATAATACAACATGATGTTTTTATTACAGGCTTAGAATTTATCTACTAAATAAACTTTTTCTAGACATCACCATTGATTATTTTTTATCTATCGCTGGACACACACAGATGAATATAATTATGAATTTAGAGGTGGGTAATGGTATTTTAGAGACACACAAAAAATGTTAAAGTTAGTGATTTTTTTGGGCAGTAAAAATAATGAAATTATGAAATATAACATTTAATCAGTTTTTATTTTCAGATATATGACAAAATAAATTTCAACAAACCATTGGATGAAATATTTACACCAAAATATAGCAGATTTCATTGGCATAAAGTCTTAAATTGCTCAAAATACAATATTTTGCCAATTTTCTATGCATCTAGATCATTTTTAGAACATTTAAATAACTAAGAAAAAAATGATAAGTTTTAATGATGGTACTTTGTCTAAACAGTGTTTATACGCCACATCATGTAGTCGTATTTTCCTGTCGAATATTTACATAAATTCTGTAAGTAAAAATCCTTAAATAAACTCTTTTTATTAAATAATAAAATAAAATGTATAGATGTATTCTGATTCATATAATTATAACACCAACCCGTGTAGTTACATTATAATACTAATAAACATATATTGTATTGAAGCGATTATATTTTCAATAATTCAAACATAATTGCACATCAATTATTTTGCACAATCAAAAATATTCAACATTTAAATTTTTGATGAAAATTGCAATATTTGTACAAAATTCTATAAACTTTTAACAAACTAAAAATTTTATTTTTCCGAGACGTAGCAAAATCATATGTATTTTGTAATTTACAATTTTTATCTTTCGATTCGTTGAATGAAATACGTTGTTACAAATCGAATTTTTAACAAAATAAAAATAAAAGCGTTAAAAAATACTTTTGCGGTAAATTTGAAAGTTATAGACTCTGAAATTTAATTAAAAAGTTGCAACATAACTTGGTTCGTCGGCACAAACTAAAAATAATTTTATAAAAATGTCCTCGTAAGTATAACAGTACTAATTTGTATTAATTTTAGAAAACCAACAATAACAAAAAGTAAAATCATCATTACAGAGTTAATTCTCATAACAATGATTTTAATATTTTAACTGATGACAATGTGATGATGATGATGAAAGCAATTGATGAATAAATTAAACTTTTTCAACAATTCTTTTCCCGAAAGAGACATCAATTATCGTTTTGACTAGTTCGCATAATGTACTTCTTTTCAAATTCCGTGACTTTCAAAAATCTGTAACACCTGTAATAAAAGAAAAGTTAATTAGCATATAAATTTTATTTTTATGCTAACTCGTCCCCCCCCCCGTGATTACCAGCAATTACCTTCTGCTTATTTATAAAATACATCAAAATTAATAAGTACCATGTATCACGTGTACAGTACACCAAAAAAGAAACGTATCATCCTGAATAACGTTTGGTCTAATGGTTGGATCTTCACGTTTTACGACTCAATCTTAATGGTTAGAGGGTACAACGTCAAATATGATAATTAATTAGTCGATACTATATTTTAAGTTACGAAATGGATACAAAAACGAAATTTCTCTAAATAAGGATAACTTTTTTTCCGGATTTCTGACCCCCAAAATAGTCGCAATCTGGGAAATATGGTCCCCATAGTTTGATCAGGAGAGCGACCCTAAGTTTGAACTCCTTAATTTTAATTTTACTTTTTCCTTTTTCGCCACTTCTCGAGACCTTTAAAAGAGATTTGAAAAATTTTTGCACACAATTACAAAATTCATTTATTCAAAGACAATTCCTTGCAAAAAATAAATTTTACCAAGTATTTATTATTTTTTATTATTTAATTTAATAACAGTTGAAGAAATTTTGAAATGTAAGATATACAATTTTTTACGTCATTTTTAAAGTATGTAATTTTACATGCAGAATGCAAAATTTGAGCAAAATTGGTTGAATAGTTCTAGAGAATTCGAATGTTTAAAAAGTCGGATATTTAAAATTTGATTTCCTCTAGAACAATTCGAACTATTTCTCTCTAATTTCGTATTTTGCCTTGTAAAATTACTTTAAAGTCACGTTACGTTTTTCAACTATTATAAAACAATCATCATCAGCATTGGCACGACAGCCCTTTGTGGGCCTGGGCCTTCCTCAGAAGCTTTTCCCATTCTGCCCTTCTCCCAGCAATTATTATAAAACAATAAAATTAATAAATATGTATTAAAATCCAGTTTTTGCATGGAATTATCTTTGGATAAACGAATTTTATAGTTACGTGCAAATTTTTTTTAATTCGCTTAAAAAAATTCTTCTGATATGGTGAAATATGCAAAATTTCTCTCCTGATCAAAATATGGGGACCGTATTTCCCAGACTGTGGTTACCCTTATATTTAGGGGTCGGAAATCAGAATCCGTTGAACAAATGTATGTTTGTTCAGAGAAAGTACGTTTTTGTGTGCGATTTCGTAACTTAAAATATCACATGCAGTAATTAATTAGCATATTTGAAGTCACCCCTTCGAACCATTAAGATTGAGTTCTGAAACGTGAAGATCCGATCATTAGATCAAAAGTTAATCTGAGTCATTAGTTTTTTTTTTTTAGCACGCTGTAAACGTCGACTCCTTTTTTTATTACGAGATAGAAAATTTCTTATACGCCCGCATGTATAAGTCAACAGCTGTAAAAACAAACAAATAAAATATTCTAAATCAAAAAAAAAAAAAAAAAAAAAAAAAANAAAAAAAAAAAAGTATTAAGTAATAATTTAGATGAGGATGACGCTAACGATAGTCAACAAAGATTGAACTTAAACTGCGCAATTCATCATCTTCGGCGAAGTTTTCCAATTTTCTAAACACCTGATTCTTTTGAAAAGAGAAATTTAAACGTAATCATTGTATTTACATCTTTGTTTTTAAAATGTCCTTTTAATTTTTTATTTGTTATAAAAACGCGATAAGTTAAGTTAAAGTAAGGATGTAATTAAGTTAATAATGCGAAAAATATTGAAATTTAAAGCGATTTCACCAAGAGTTCATTACTAATAATGTTTTACAGTTTTGAATTCATTAGTTTAATACATTGATTGAAAGCAATTTTACAAAAATGAATACATGTTATTTTCTGCACAATAATTGGAAAACGATGATAATAGTGTCGTTTAATAAGTAACAGCATAAAATTATTTTATAGTAAAGGAACGTTGTTTCTAGTTTTAAGCCTATAATTTGGATTAATAATCAAATCAATAATTGCAGGAAACAATACTGAGATAGGATGACAAATAAATATTACGGGTAAAAACCGTTAAACTATAGGTAAAGAAATATATTGCAAATAAACAATTTATCAACAACTAAATTTATATTGATGGTAACCACTGAAATCTGTATCTCCATGTAATGACAGCAATGAAACAAGGTTGTTACGTCACATGGAGAGAAAAAATTCATATCTCTGAATTCCGCAGAACATTTAAAATTTAAACTCGACGGATCCTTTTTTTATTTAATAAATAATCCCGGTATAGAGAAGCAGAAAAACATACTTGATAATATAAAAATTTCATTTGCTTAAAAAAAGTAATTTTAAGGTGGCAAAAGTTGGCATGTTAGGAGCACTAAAAAATAGGCGCCTATTCTCAAGACTCGTCAGATGTGAGGAAAACAAAAGATAATTTAAGTAGAAACGTCATGATCATTAACAAGGGAATAAAAAATGCCAATTTTATTGTTTTACGACACGAGCTATTAGTGTTTTACTAACTCTACATAGCACGTGGAAATGCAGCCTGCCCTAATTTGTGCTCTCTCAGCCACTGCAATTTTCGTAGTTTTTTTTCCTCACTTTTATTTGTTTTCCATTTTTTTTTATTGGCAACTTACCGTTTCCTATTCAAATACTTTTGGTTTCCTCATTCATGTCTACTGAGTCTTGGGAATGGAAGTTTGGAATAGAACATGCCGAATTTGTCCACGTTTTTTCATGAAGTTTTTACGTTATCAAGATTTTACATAATCAAGTAAATACATAATTAGTCCCCGTTTGTCTCACTATCCAATCAAAACGATTGCTTTGTAGGCAGAGTTATTTTTATAATAAATCTGACTTTGATATTATATAATGCATATCTGTGCTACATTTTAAGATAAAGTTATTTAGAAAGGTGGTCTAATCTTAACAAACGTTTTACAGTTATTATTTTTGCACAAATAACATTGATATACCGTTATAAATTACAGTTAAAGGTTAAATGATTTAAAAATTAACGATCAGTTTCATGCACAATGAGATGCAAGCAAAAATAAAATTTAATATAACCGCCCGTTTAGTAAGCGAAAATATTAAATTACGGTATCAAATTTGTTAGAACACTATAACGTAACAACGATTTAAATGTTATTTCAAAAAATATTTACTTAGAAAAATTACTTCTGCTCACCATTAGTTCTAAATACTAACAGATAATAAATAACAGTTGGACGTGGGAAGTGGAGGCACAAGCAAACAGAATTCCTTTTAGTATATATGTTACCGGCAAAGTTTGAAATCCGGCCTAGGCATTGTATATAATGCCTAAAACTAGCAGGCAATGTATGAAACGATTTATATTTCACACATTTCCTAGGCATTCTGTAAAATGCCAAATGAGAAATCGGCAAAGTATAAAATGCATTTACGATTCGTTTCGTAATGTAGTGAAATGTAATTCAAAATGTCATTCAAGCCTGCCATGTTGCAACAAGTAGGTTAATTTCTTACTTTTTTACATGAAAATTTTTTTCCCTTAATAAGAAAGGCATAAATTATGTTTTGTACAACTTTCATTTTTCTTTACGCATTTTGAATCAGTTTTTTTTAAATGTCACACCCATTATTTTTTCAGAATCACATCTTTGTTTTTGAGAAATGCACATCATTTAGATCAGTGGTTCTTAACCTTTTTAAGCCGCGACCCAAATTAGAGAAATATGTTCATGTCGCGACCCAAAAAAAAGTCAAAATTTTTTCATTGCTTTTATTTCAGATCGTATTTTTAAAAAATCTTCAATCCTACGATGATGATTTTTTTTAACTTACAAATTTTTTATTTATTTTTTTAATAATAAAGATAAACAAAAGTACTTTTCGATCCAAGGAAAATTTAATTAATAATCAAGTGTTTTTAATAATTTTTATTGACCAAATTAAAATATATTTATAACTTTTTGAAAATAATTGACATTTTAACTTATTCCTTGACTTAAACAGCGCCACTTCTGTGGAACTATTTTTCTACCTCTTAGAGAGGGCCCTTATGTTAATTCTTTTTTACTTTTTTATTTTAAACATTAACTACTAAGTATCTTTTATTCTTATATTAATTTTGCACCTTGATATGCTAAACTAATTTTGAGTCATGTGCCTTTTTTAATTATTATGAACGAGGATTAAGGGTATAGAGTTACCCAGGTACCACATTAAGCCTAGGCTGAGTAAGCCACAATGACTTCTTCTAGGAGGTGTTGGTATTACTTATTATTTGGTGTATTACTAACTTTTTTGGTTCGACTCAGCGCGACCCAAGAAATATGCTTTGCGACCCAATTTTGGGTCGCGACCCATAGGTTAAGAACCGCTGATTTAGATAATGACCTCATCAGGGCGATTTTTTCATACTTTGCCTAAATAGCACTTGTCATTCTACAGAATGGCTAGGTATTATATATAATGCTTAGGGAAAGTGTGTAATACTTCTCATATTTCATACCTAGCCTAAAAACATCCGGCATTACATACAATGCCTAGGCATTGTATAGAATTCCGGCGTTTCATACTTTTCCTGTTACATATGTTAAGTGAATAAATTTAACTTTAGTTGAAATACTGTTTCCTGTCAAGAAACAGCAATTGTTCCGAAGGCATCGGGGCTGGTGAGCCGCAGCGAACAGGGGGCTTAGTCACCAAATATGGTAAAAAATGTGACATCATTTATAAACGGCTTCTAAATGTTATTTGTTTATTTTGAACAATAAGGGTGGCATACTCTTAGTTTTTACAACGTTTTAAAAAGTATGAAGTTACATAAGCCAAAGCAATATGCTAATACCTGATGGATTGAAACCCTTTCTCGGACCGTTCGTGAGAAATGATGGATGGACTGGCTTGACCCTCGTCATCGGGTCACCTCCAGTTTTCATAGGCAGAAATGCTGCTGGTCTCTTCAATCCAGGCAGGTTGTTGTTCGTTACAGGCTCTTGAAAATGGACTGTTTTGTGCTGGCTGGAAGGCTTGAATTGCGGGACATGATTTTGCATAGGCGGTGAGTGTTGGGGTACATTCTGGTGCTGCTGAAATCCTGGTCGCACTGATTGCTTCTCAAATACAACTGTTCGAACAGTTTCTGAAATACAAGGGATAAGGAAACATGTTGTACAAGATTTCTATATTCTGTGTCGCGTGAAAGAATTTTATGAAAAAAAATAGCTTCTGATATACAATTGTTCGCACAGTTAGTGAAATACAAGGGATAAGGAAACATGTTATACAAGATTTCTTTATTCTGAAACTAGTGTCGTGTGAAATAATATGTTTATAAAGTAATAAATCCGGTTTTCTAAGCAGAAGGTTAGCAAGCAATAAATTTCTATCAATATCCATTTTTCTCTAGTCCCGCAATGAACTGATCGTTAAGACACGGTTCCCAGTAGAACACCGAAGTCAAGCATCACTGGCTGCCGTCAGTGTGCGGGTGGGTGAGCACTTGGATCAGCCTGCGTAGGGACCGAGGGTGCGCGGTATGGGTCCTCGTTAAACTTTTTCTGCCGTCAAGTGCTCGACTTCTCACACAGGTCGTCGGGCTGCCAAAGCAGGGGAGTCATCCCCTCTTCAGAGAATCAAAATTGCGATGGCATGTCTTCGGTTGGTTGTTGTTAATTTAGGCGCACTAGAGCTGCACAATGGGCTATTGGCGACGGTCTGGGAAACATCCCGGAGGATGATCCGAAGACATCCTCTGCGGAGGGGATGGCACCCCCGCTTCGGTAGCCCGACGACCTGCGCGCGAAGTCGAGCACTTTGCGAAGGCACAGTTTAAA